GAAAGGGATGCTGAAATCAATCTCCACAGGGAAGCTGCTGGTAGGGGTTGGCCTGGGTGAAGGTGTTTCTAGGGTCTCTGTCATTTCTGCAGTCTCTTATTCATCCTCATCTCTCTTCTGTACATGTGAAGAGAGACAAGAAAGGGCTCAGAGTGTGGTTGCAGTGCTTTGAGTTGGCCACGTGAGCACTGCTTGAGTGGCACATGCCAGGGTGCAGTCAACATCTGTCTTTTCCACCATTATTTTAGTTTGTCTCTCCATCCTGCAGTTGGAAGGAAGCCCCATCCCAGTGCCTCAACATGGAAACACCAAAATCCAGGAAATCTTACCTATAGAAAATGGCATAAAAGACTCCCTTTTCCAGAACTGTCCATCCTTCAGGAAATGCCCAGGGTTAAAAGTGTCAGGGGTTTCCCACTCATTCTTGTCAAACATCACAGAGCTTAAATTTGCAAGCAAAATGGTGTCCTGAGAGGAGAAAAAGAAATTACACTTTCTCTGTCACTGACAGCAGAAGGGGCATTTTTGTCTTCCAGTCTCCTCTCCATGGAGAACAGCCATAGGGAAATTCAACCGCACTATTTGTCTAACACACCCCAGCACAGCCCAGCCAGTTCTCCTGCTTTTTGGTTCTTTGAAGGTGCAGTGACTATACATGTACATTTGTGCCTCATCAGCATCAACTTGGGCCAAAGTTCCTGGAAAATCTGTGTGAGATGGGATCCGTGCCTCAATGGTGTGTGCGGGGCTGTTGCCCCACAGCACTCTGCACCATTCAATGTGCTGCAGAATGTTGTTTGGATGGCAAAAAAGTCACTCAGAGTGGATTCTGGAAAGGGCAGAGACACTGTGGCTCTGCCCCTCCTGCCTGCACAGGATGGACATGGCCTGGCAATTCGTGCCTGGGGAACTCTCCTGGTAAAGTCTCAGCGCTCAGGCGTGCCGTTACCTTTGGTATGTGGAAGCCATCCAAGACCGTGTCCTTCACCGTCAGTCTCGGCACATTGAAAGGGATGATGTTGCTTTTCCTCTGCACTTCATGGATGACAGCGTTGGTGTAGGGCATGTTACTCCTGTCCTCCAGGGCGGGCAACCGTGCCTGCCCGATGACGGCGTCTATCTCAGCTTGCACGCGGGCTGGTGGGAAAGAGCAGAGATCAACCGAGGTCCAAGAAAAAGCCCCTTGGAACAACATGGGGTGGTTGCTGTTCGGATACTCCAAGGACTGATCTGGGACACCTGCCGCTGTTTGCACCTCTTCTGTGTGAGTGCAGGGAGATTCCCAATTTTCCTCTCAAAGAGGAGAGTGTTGCACAAAGCCATGAGAGCTAAAAGCACAGAAAATCACTCATCTTTTGCTAATTGTACCTTGAATCTCTGGATATATGGCCATAAACAGCAGAGCCCAGCGGATGGTTGAGGAAGTGGTCTCGGTTCCGGCGAACAGCAGGTCAAGAGCGCACGCCACAAGGTTCTCCTCCTGGAAGCTGCCGTCGCCGTTGTCCTTCACAAAAAGTTGTGTTAGGCTGACAGCAGGCTTAGTCCAAGCCAACCCCAAGGATT